CTTGAATCTAATGTATGAAATATGATATGTCAAGAGCTTTGTAATGTTTTAAACATCCAATCAAAAAATAAAATAAAACAAAGAGAAATTTTTATTTACATACGCATACATGATTGGTTGATCTTCCAATAAAAGGAAGTAGCTTACTTTATCAAAGAAATCCAAAGTTTTTGTAAGAGCCTTTTGTTCATCTGATAGCATTTTACTTCCAAAAACAATAAGCACAAAATTTCTCTCTGGGACCCCACAAATTTCTAAAATACAAAATGAAGTCCCCTGTTTCTGATATACAAAATGGAACGACCCACCTTCATTTCAACAGACTCCTTTTAAAAAGGGGATGTGGGGGCATCAGTGAGAAGACCATCTCGGGTGGAAGCCTCCTGGGTTCTCCTACCAGGATGCCACCGACAAGGGGTAGTTGGTTTTGGAGGAGAAAACTGCCCAGATCAGAATTTGTAAAGTCCAAGCATAAGTTGCAGTAAGGACAGAGATAGAAGCAGCAGGAGAGAATGGAGTACAGCCTGTGAAAGAGCAGACAAAGCTAACAGCCATGTGATGATGGGAATGGAAAGAGGGAAAAGAGACACACAGATCTAGAGCCATGCCATCTGGGCGGTGGAGAACTTGAAACACAGCTCGTGCAAATGGAGACGCTCTGCAAGTGTGACCTCCACGCCAGACTGAGACGATTTAGAACAGGAAGGACAATGTATAATAGCTCAAAGGTTCTTTATATTAATTTCACATTAATATTTTGAATACATTGGGTTAAAATAGTATTGAAGTTAATCCACTTTTCAATTCAAGTGGCTACTAGAAAATTTCAAATATGAATATGTGGCTCACATTTTTAGTTGTACATGACAGTGGATGTATTTTGACATACATACGTGGAGTATAATTCCCGATTCTTGTGGTCATACATGATGCAGAGTCACACTGGTCGTATATTTATATATGACCATAGGGAAGTTATGTTCGACTCATTCTACTTTCTTTCCCATTTCCATCTTGCCTCCCTTCCTCCAGTTCCCCATCCAATCTGGTGAACCTCCACTCCTTCCTCCCTCAAGACCCCAGTATCCACACATCAGAGAACAGTCAGCCTTTGGTTTTTGGAGATTGGCTTATTTCACTTAGCATGATAGCCTCCAGTTCCATCTACTTACTGGCAAGTGCCATAATTTCATTATTCTTTAAGGTTGAGTAATGTTCCATTGTACATATGTACCACATTTTCCTTATCCATTCATCTATTGAAGGCCACCTAGGTTGGTACTATAACTTAGCCATTGTGATTTGAGTTCTATAAACATTGATGTGGCTGCATCACCGTAGCATGCCGATTTTAAGTCCTTTGGGTATAAGCTGAGGATCGAGATAACTGGGTCAAATGGTGGTTCCATTCCAAGTCTTCTGAGGAATCTCCATACTGTTTTCCAGTGTGATTGCACCAATTTTCAGTCCTACCAGCAACATATGAGAGTACCTTCCCCCCTCCACATCCTCGCCAACATTTATTATTGCTTGTATTCTTGATAACTGCCATTCTGACTGGACAGAGAATCTCAGTGTAGTTTTAATTTGCATTTTTTGATTGCTAGAGATGCCGAGCATTTTTTAAATATATTTGTTAATGATTTGTATTTCTTCTGTGAAGTGGCTGTTCAGTTCCTCTGCCCATTTATTGATTAGGTCATTTGTTTTGTCTTGGTGTTTAGCTTTTTGGGAGACTAATGCCTTATATAAGGTGCAGGTAGTGAAGAGTCTCTCTCATTCTGAAGCCCCTCCATCACATTTTATTTCTATGTATGGGGCAGTGTTGGTCTAGAGTCAAGGTCAGGGAATCTTCCCCAAATTCTGATCTCACTGGATGTCCACTCCTCACTGCAGAGTCTTTCCAAAACTCTGCTGCAAGAGTGGTTCAAAACCATCATCTGCAAAAATACATGTATTTTTAGCTAGCTGGGCTTTGGGGATCAACACAAACACGTACGGATCAGAAGAAATACCGAAGGTCACACCAC